TATATTTTACAATTAGGTTAGTCTTAAAAATTCGTGAAGGAAAATGATAATGCATGTGTGACAATGTTAGATGATTCAACAATAGTTTATGTTGGACATTATATATAGATGGGTGTGCTTTCAATCAACCAATGTTGAACAATATATAGATAGATTAGTAGGATGTTATTGTTTCTAATCATTTCCATTTAAATTTATTTTTTTCTTTTTTTAAATAATTATGATTTCAATGACATTTTCAAATGCTTATTTATCTTTTATGTCATTATATCCAAAGAGAAAATATATATCTAAGTATTATAAAATATTATACTTGCAAAGAGTGTAGAACGATACTTTCAAACATAGTTGGTTAGCTTCTAATCAACACTAAAAAAATGATGAGCACAAATGATAGTTATATCAAATAGGAGTTATTTTTCAAAGAGTATCACACAAAAAGAAGGCATTAAAAAACCATATTATAAGACAATAATAATGACCATTATTTTAAGCATAATGAGGATATCATTAAATAACAAAATAAAAAACAACATAGATATTTTAACATTTAAAATTTTACAAAAAAAAAAAAAAATTATTAATTTTATTTTGAATTTTCAACCCAGTGATTTTTTATTTAGTTTTATTTATCATAGAGTTCGATTAATAGTACTAAATATTATATTTCATCATTCAATGCATTCATTAATGTTTACCATACAATACACCATTTTCTTTTTTAAAAACTAATGGAACATTTAATTTATGAATGATTTATAAGATTTTATAAATAAGACTGGGTAATGGCAACAAATTTAAGGTAAATGTACGATTTATTTTTATTACTATTTTCTAATAATTACACGTTTTTTAAATACAAGATTTAAAATCAAATTTTGGTTATTTTATTTATTTTTATAATTAGACTAATTTTTATTTATATTACAATTAAGTAAATTACAGATTAATTTATGTAACACATATTATCATTAAAAAAAACATTTATACTATACATCTCATTAACGTGTAAACTTAAATTATATTATGCATATTGTTTTAATGAGTAATTTAGCAAAACATTCTATTAAAATTATATATTTTTTCACTTAACGAATACCTTTTTTTTGGCATAAATTTTATATTTTGTATGTTGAAGAATTATTTTTCATTCAACCATTATTTTATTTTTTTTGGTACAATTCACTCAATCATTATTAAACATATGCATGTTAACTTAATTGTTCTTCTTTAAATTTCTTTAATACTGTAACAAAAATCTCTATAGTAAATAATATGATATTTAGAAATTAGAGATGATACTTCTATTAGTGCGTTATATATTTTACACTAATAAAATTAAATATATTTTACTTAAATTTTAAAATAATATTTTCTTACATATAAAATCTACCTTTAAAATAACCAAACCGAAACCTAACGTCGTATATAGAATAAATTATGTATTGAAAATCTATAAATTTGCGTCGGTAATATTTTTGTATTAAAGATATCATTAATTATGAAGATAAAAATAATGAATTAAAGTAAATTAGTAAATGGAGGTTTAAAACCTTAACAAGTATTGGTAGTTGTTACTTTCTAACATTAATATAAAAGTTACACTAATAACCTTAAAGGGAACATTTTTGGCAATTCAAAAGTTTCAAGAAACTACTCTTCCTTTTGAATAATATTTTCAACTCAACAATTTTTTATTTAGTTTTATTTATCATAGTTTTCGGTTAATAATACAAAATATTATATTTCATCATTCAATGTGTTTATTAATATTTACTATAAAATACACTATTTTTTTGTTTTTGTTAAACTAATGGATTCTTCCTTTTTTTTTTTTACTTAAAAATATTTTTGTTTTTAGATTTATATTTAATAGTATAATATATTTTTTTTCCATTAGTTTAACAAAAATACTTCATACTTATTATTCTTATGTTGTCAGCTTTATCTTTACAAGCCGAATACACATTTTGGGAAGAGAAAAATCACGAAACAAAAAAATAAAAAATAAAAAATAAAAAAATCAACTATGTACCTTGCATCACCAAGATAATTGAACATATACTGAAGTAGGGCCTTAGCATCCCCCATAGAACGAAGCTGGTTCCAACGTCCACGGCTACTAATGCCACGCTCACGTTCCTCGGCCTCCGAAAGCTGTGAGGCCATTGCAACTAGTGAACTCGATGAGATGCCCAACATACTCTCAAGAGATGAGATTCTTGACATTCTTGCACTTGGGGACATTGAAGATGCCCTGACAACCACAACAACAACAACAAAAATCAGCAGTAGTGAAAAAACAAAATATTTTGTTTGTTTAAATTAGGGACTATTTTAAAGACAGTCCACGAGGTTACAAATAATGAGGAAGTTTCAATTAGAGGGCAAACAGAAAACGAAAGGAAAAGATAACAAAACATTCACCTAATTTTCCTTTTCCTTTTCCTTTATTTATTTATTTATTTTTTTTTTGTAATTTTGAAATTTCCCTGAGCTTTCGGGCACTACTTCCAATGTCGGATTCGGATAGGGTTTTGTATATCCAATAAATGAATCGACCCAAAAATTTTATGGTAAGAATACGCAATATGTTCTCACACACACAAGGAGAACAAATAATAAAATAGAAGGAAAAAAAATATATATATATACACATATAGATTGTTACATTGCACTAACCTGGTAACACCATTTTTGCCTCTTGGAGGGCTAACACCCTTTGAAGCAAATTCATCAACTTGTCTTAAAACAGCCAATTCTTCAGCAAGTGCTGCTCGTCTGCAAACGAGACAACAAACAGACTTCAAAAAAAAAAATAATATGAAGTTTTCGCATGCCAAAGCATGTGATAACCATGCAAGTTAAAGAACTCAAAACAATAACTTAACAAAGTGAAAATGGTACATACACTTGATTCTGTTTCTCATACTCAAAACGAACTTCATGAACGTTCACCATAACTTCAAGCTCATGATCAAGCCAACGTTGCAATGATTTTTCATTGCCCTAAAAAAAAGAATATTAAGATTTAATTAAGTCCATTCAAATAGACATGAAAAATGGGTTACGTAGTTGAAGAGAACATAAGGTAAGACCTGCCCATTTGAACCATTTCCATTGCTGTTGACTGTAAGATATTTATAATTTTAGTATCAGAAAAAATATAAAAATATTGATTTAAAAACATAGTTCTAAGTATTCAAGAGAAAGACATACTTGAATTTTCACGAGTTGAAGATTTCCGTGCTTCTAGAAGTTCTTTCAACCTCTTGGTAACTAATGCGGCTTCCTCCGTTTTTCTCTGGAGAACCTGAAGCAAATAAAAACCAGTTCAGTGGACATTTGATCAGTATTTGACACACTTCATGCTAGAAAGTGACTTTTTTTTTTTT